AAAATGGGAAGTCAGATCATCAGATGATGGATGGGACAGATATTGGAGTTGTAGAAGGAGTGGAAGGAGTAAATGATCTAAGGAAATACAGTTGATTAGTATGCAGAATGAAAAACCACTTGAGATTAGTGGTTATTAATTTAATTTAGCAAGCTTGTGCATATTTTTTTCCAGCTATGATCTACTATGAAGGTGTAGATACAGGAACAGGTAAAAAAAAAAAAAGGGGGGGGGATTTAACCAAGTAGTTTTAGGGAATTTCCCTGAGGAACCATATACATCTGGCACTATGGGGGGCTGTGTGGGTAGGATACTTGGTCATTATCAATCTTTTCTTGTGGCTATTGGTTGATTTAGTTATTCTGGGTCAGTTGTTTGTAACATATTTTGCTAGAAAATGGACCTTTTTGATTTAGGTTTAATTTATTTTTCCCACAGGCTTTAGCAATGCCAGAGCATTTAAAATTAGACTTACTTTGGTGATCTAGTCTTCCAGGCTGTCATTTGAACCATTTTAAGTGTTTCTCAGCTTGGCAACAAGCCCCTGTGAACCCGCCTTTTCTTTGCTGTGCTCTGTTGAGTAGAAGTGATGGGTAAGAGAAAGGGTCCCAGCAGGTTGCAAGTGCGGTTTGCTCAGCTGTGCTTCCTTGAAGTGTGCTCTCCGTGGGAGGTGCTGATGTCCAGGCTGGTCAGAATCCCAAAATTCTTGGTTGATCTCACAGTGGTTATTTAGCTTTTGTGTATAGGGTTAGTTGGAAAACATTATTAACTTAGCAAATCAAAATGGCACTCTCGGGGGAAAAAGAAAGGGGGCCTTATGATTAGCATGTATAATGTGGGGGGGGCATAGGGAGGGCTGTGCAACACAGAGAAGACAAGTAGTGATTCTACAGCATCTTACTACGCTGATGGACAGTGACTGTAATGGGGTTTGTGGGGGGGACTTGGTGAAGGGGGGAGCCTAGTAAACATAATGTTCTTCATGTAATTGTAGATTAATGATACCAAAAAAATAAAAAATGCACTTGCCAAGAAAAAAAATGGCATTCTGAGCTGAACCAGTCTGGTTTTTCTGAGTGGGGGTGGTGTGAGTGGGGCTTGACAATCTTTCCCTGAGTCTCATCCTCTGGATCAATTGATAATGTAGCCCACTGTGATGTACTATATTTCCCAAAAGATAAATGGCAGGCCTGTCTGTTTTCTCAGGTAAATTCCTTTAAACTATCCAAACCCCTGGTCAAACCCAATATTCCTCCAGCTCCATGCCTGTATATATGCAGGAGAAAAACACAGCCATGCCTGAAAGTCATATACAGATTTACATGAACATCTCTTCATGTATACACATATACACATCTAAGCTCTCTTTAGATGTCTTCTGGGTGGAAGAACTCATGGAATTGAAACTTGTGATTTGCAGAGGAGGGGAAACATAAACAAACAACCAAGACAAACCGATCCATAGGGACCTTCAGCACATAGGAGAGCTGAGTTCATACTGTAAATGGGAATTTTACTTCCTTTGTAGTTAGATTTCCTAGTCCAGTGCTTCCCAAACTGTTTCTGGAGATTTCTGAGCCTTCCCTAAACTCTCTGTGGGGTGAGGGTTCTGTGGCCAAATCAATTTAGCAAAAGCTTAATACCCCATTCCCACTCTTAGAGATTCACAACACACTTCATTTATGTAATTAATCATTCAACAAATATTTAATGAGCTCTTTCTATATGCCAGGCTTAGTGTTGGGCTCTGGGAGAAGAAAAATAAGCAAAAAACAAACCAAATTGCTGCTTTCATGGAGTTTATACTCTAATCGGGCTGGATATTAATCAAATAGCCAAACAAACAATGTCTAATTATAGACCCAGGCAGGTTGTAAAAAAGGAACATGCTTATTGGAAACCTAAGCCAGGTGACAGGGAAAGTTTCTCTGAAGAAGGGACACAAACAGATGTGAATTTGGTAAGAGTGAGCATTAACTAGGTCAAAGACCAGATCTTGATGCTTTAGAATGCCCCACAGAAATAAAATGTGAGCCACATATGTGATTAAAAGTTCTCCAGCAACCACTTTACAAAAAACAAAAATACGAAATTAATTTTAATAATATATTTTACTTAACTCAGTGTATCTAAAATACTATTATTTCAATATTTCGCCAACAATTATGAATGCAGTATTTTATATAATTTTTTGTTGTATGTTTTTGCAATGTGGTATACATTTTAAACTCACAGCATATCTCTGTTCAGACTAGTCAGTTTAAGTGCTTAATAGCCATAGGTAGCTCTCAGTATTGTAGTGGACAGAGCAGACAGAGGAATGGAGATAAGGCCCCGTTGGCAGGAAGGCAGAGGGAGAAGTGGAGGGTAGTGGGAGGTGGGGTGATGCCACCCCCCTGGGACTCATGCAGGGTGTTGTAGGCCATGTGAAGGATCTTAATCTTGGAAGCATTATCTGTAAAGTGAGATAGTTCTACTAAATGATCTCTAAGATTTCTTTTAGTTTTAACAGTCTAATCTCTGCTGTCCAAAATGGTACCCAGTAGAGCTACATGTAGCTATTGAGTACTTGATATGTGGCAAGCTGATGTGACATGTGCTATAGGAGTAAAATATGCCCTGGATCTCAAAACAAGAATGTAAATACCTCATTAATAATTTTTCATAATGACTAAATGTTGATAATAATATTTTAGAATCGCCTCTGGTGATTAGGGCATTGTTCTTGTAATCCAGTCTCTGACTTATTTATGCAGAAGAGCAACTCACTAACATGATACTGGGTAGTAACTAGAATCTTGCAGGCAGAACCAATGTCTCACATTATACTTCAATACAGAGACACAGGAGGGCAGTCTAACCAACCAGCAATAGAACTTACATGGTTTCATAGCCTTGACAATTAAATGTGTTGAATAGAATATATTATTAAAATTAGTTCCACATGTTTCTGTTTACTTTTTTTATGTAGCTCCTAGGAAATATAAAATTATATATGTGGTACTATGGGCTAAATTGTGTCCCCCACCACCCCAATTCATATATTGAATTCACTTAACTCCCTGTGTGACGGTATTTAGAGATGGGTCTTTGGGAGGTAATTAGGTTTAGACGAGGTTATAGGGTCAGAAGAGACATCAGAAAGCTTGTGCTCTCTCCCTTCCTGCCACCTGACAGCAGAGTGAGAAGGTGGCTATCTACAAGCCAGAAAGAGGTTTCTCATCAAAATCTGACCACACTACTATCCTAATCTTGGGCATTTAGCCTCCAGAACTCTGAGAAAATAAATTCTGTTGTTTGAGCCACCCAGTCTATGGTATTTTGTTATAGCAGCCGGAGCTAAGACATGTGGCTTGTTTAATATTTCTGTTGGACCACCACTCTGGTTGACAGAAAGCTACTCATTTAGGGTCTTACTGACCCCGATGTCTAGCAATACTTACATAAAGTCTTTTGGCACTTTTGACTGTCTCTGTTGTGTCTGTGAGAGCAGGGATGGCTCCCTGAATGTTCCTTGGGGGTGCTCAGCCCAGTGTTTTACCCCTAGTAGCTGTTCAATGAGCCTCTGGTGATTAGGTCATTGTTCTTGTAATCCAGTCTCTGACTTATTTATGCAGAAGAGCAACTCATTAACATGATACTGGGTAGTAACTAGAATCTCTGCAGGGCAGAACCAGGCTTGGAAGATAAATTCAGGCAGATGGTAATACCTATATCCCAAAGACTGGTCTGGTGGTGACCCACTGCTGCCCCATCGGCAGAGTGGAGTGGCTATGTGCTTCTAGCCTCATTAGTTTTCAGTTCAGAGTTTGGCTGGCTGAGTTTAAGTTGGAAATTCTAGCTGCAAGAGAGGCTGAAAAGTAGCTTCTGTAGTGGAAAGTGAACCCCTCTCATAAGAGGGGATTCATTCCTCTAACATAAGAAGGTGTCTTCAGATGCTGGGCAGCTGAATAGAATGAACAAGGTCATTTACTAAGGTAGCTTGAGATCTTGAAAATTTGACCACAAGACAAATAAAAGTTTCTGTCAAAACTCCCCAGGGAAGGACTTTCTCCACACAGGATGAGCCCCAGATCTTGTGTTTGTTCTGGAAAGTATGAAGCATAACAAACAGCTGATGTTACACGTTACTCTAATGTAGTCATTTCATTACATCCTCTGGAAGTTCTCACATTATACTTCAATACAGAGACACAGGAGGGCAGTCTAACCAACCAGCAATAGAACTTACATGGTTTCATAGCCTTGACAATTAAAAAAATAGGTGTTGATTTTGTTAAATCTCCACCTGTCAGGTAGGATAACTAACTGCAGGAACATCTATTTTTCCCCCAACCACCTCCCCTGATTTCACTGTGGCAGACACACCAAGACACACTCTCCATACTATCTGTATTAAGGTTCAAGGGACTATGGCTTTGAGCAACTCAGAACAGAAAAGTGGATTTGGGGCTCATAGGTTACCCACTGCCTCAGCCACTGAGGCACGAGAGATGGACTCATGGCTCCCGAGAAGAGGAGAGAGATCTGGTTGTCAAGGCTTCCTTCAAACCTGCAGCCTGTCCTCATGACTTAGTGTTCCCTTCCGAAAATGGAAATAATACCTGGCTTATCTCTGTATGGTTTGCCAATGGAGGAGAGCAGGAGCGGGGAAGGAAGCAATGTACTTGGGGATGCCATTTACCATCCCATAAAATGCACTGAGTTTTATTCAAAAAATAATCAAGCCAGCCTGCCCCTTGTTATTGAATTATAGCACATGGGAGGGACAAAGTGTGCTTGGCTGGCAGCTAGAGTAACAAAAGTAAAGAGTATAATCAGTACAGGACCTGCTCCTCCAGATTACTCTCCCCACACAGATCTCCCAGGGTGGAGCCCCAAGGGGAGGAAGGGGCGTGGGGCTGCTTCTGGCAGTCCCCCCCCCCCACCCCCAGGCAGAAGCCGCCGGGTTCCCTGCGACAGCGGGGTTATTTGGGGTCAAAGGTGCAGCGTAGCTCAGCCAGCTCTGACCTGCTACAGGGCGGCGGCGTTGCGGTGCGCAGCCCTGTGTTGAGCAGTCTACCTCTCCCATCCCGTCAGCGTCCCTAAGGGCTACTGAGGAGCGGCCCCCTTATCCCAGTTATCCCAGCCTCCACTTTTCAGTGGCGCCGGGCTCAGCTCCGGATCCCCGGCCGCCAGACGTCTGCTGGGGCCAATAGTGCGCTCGTCGCGCTAGATTCAGTTCCCGCCGGCGGAGCGGAGGCTGCACCGAGGGAGGTGCAGGGACGCGTATCAGTAAAGGGAAGGAGAGCAGGGAAAACAAGATGAGAAGAGAATTAAGCTTGGTTCCCGTCGACAGGTAGTTGAGCGCGTCCGCTGAGACTCGGCGCTGGTCACGCGTCTGAGACCCCCAAGCTGGGCTCACTGCTCCTCTTGGGGAGGAGTGTCGCCTTGTGTCCTCCTAGGCCTCCACCCCCAAGGTAAGAGGGAGCCTACCACGAGGCAGGCGCCGCACTAAGCGCTTTACCACAATAACTCTAGTTTCTCCAACATCCCGAAGCGGCAGGAATTGTTACCACCCGCGCTTGTACCGTGGAGGAGGGAACTGCCGCGGAGAAGCTGGGTGGCTTGCCTGGAGTTTTGCAGCTAGTGGAGGAGCACTGACTCCAAGAAGGGTCTGTGGATCCTGAAGCCTCGGTCACAGCCCACAGCCCCTCCGCTCTGCCAGGTTATTGTCCAATCACGCAGTGTGCACCTGTAGCCTACCTCGGACGGGCAGAGAAGGTTCTTGGGGAGGAGGGAGAAGAGAAGGACCTCACGGGTGATGAAGTGGCTGACTTCCATCCAGACCCTTGGCCTGGAGCGCGGAAAGATAGTTTCGGGCGCTGGTGTGGCTTTGTACCTTGGATAACTTTCCTTCACCAGGGATCGCGTCCCCAGCGGGGGCAGGGTTTCGGGGCACCGCTCCCCCACGGGGGCGACAGGGACGTGTGGAGAACCTGGGGTCCGGGAGTGGGCATAGGAGAAAGTGGGGTGGCGGGAGCCGGCTGGCTGCGGCGCGCGGAGGGGAGGGAGCCAGCCTGCTAGGGCGGAGAGTCCACGAGGTGGGTGTGCGGCGCTTTCATTCAAACTTTGGGGGTCTCGCATCCTGCGTCAGTGAAGGTGTGACCAATCAGAGTCCGGGGACGGGAATAAATTATGTAAATCACTATCTGGCGATGGGTCAGATGACTCCGATACTTAAAAAACTACCTCTCGCGGAGCTCGCGGTGTGACAGCCGCGAGCCCTTGCTTCCCGGGAGGGCGCGCGGGTGACAGCAGATCTGATTCTGGTTCAAGCCCCTTCAGACTGCCCCCACCGCTCCGCCGCTCAGTTTAGCCAAGTTTTCATTTTCCACCTTCACCATCGGCTGTCCAAGGCCACCATTCTCTGGTCAACAGAAAGCTACTCACTTAGGGTCTTACCGACCGCGACTGCTGGAATCCCCTAGAGGTGTTTAAATTTTTTTTTTAGAAATTTTCAGGGAAGGGGGTGTGGCGGGGAAGGATGAGAAACTCCGTGCCTCTGCTCTGCCTCTGGAGCGTCTATTGTTGCTTTGCGGCGGGAAGCCCTACAACCCCTGGTCCAGAGGGACCGCTGCAAGGTAATGTGCACTTATGTTTATTACTCGCCACTTGTTTCCTGTGCCAGGTCCCTCTCTCTTGGCGACCCTACTTCAGCCCTGCCTCCTTCCTCTGAAATCCTCCCTTTCCCGCCGCGCTGTGTGCTTCTAATCAGCGAGGCAGCTCCCTTCTTCCTCCGCGCCGCTGACGAGGACATCCCAGCAGGGCATCCACGAGGCCCAGGCGGCGGGTGCGCTGGCCGCGCGGCTCTTGCCCCACCCTCTTTCGAACGGGGTTCCATTGGCGCTGTCCGCTCAGCCGAGTTGGCTGCCAGCTGCCCTTCAGCTTTGTCCTAGTCTTCGAACTAGGAGGTTTGAGAGCAGGGAAGTTGATACAGCTTTGTGGCCTGGTGTCCCTCTTTTTAAGCTCCGTGTAGGTGTTTTTAAAGTTAAGGTAGTGAGGTAGCTGGCTGTGGTTTGATGAGTGATTGTGTAGGGAGCATTTGGTGAGTAACTTTCTCCCGGAAGCTGCTGGGGTTATTCCCCAAGATTGCTGGCCTTCTCCACCCCAAAGCTCTTTCCAATCCCTGCCCCTCTTTTCCCTACTTCTCACCTTCCTCCTACCTGCTAGCTTCTCTTCTTTCTGAGTTCCGTAGGGCAGTCTTTTCCAGTGGAGGAGGCCTGCCCTGGTGGAGTAAGGGTGGGGGCACCAGTGAGAGCGCCAAGTTGATTAGTTAAGCAGAGGAGAGTGGGGGAAATCCTAAACTGCTCTCCATTATTTCCTCTACTGTTCTGCAGAGGTGGGCCAAATGATGCTGGACCATGTCAGCGTATGTACATGTGGGAGACTTAATTTGAAAGAATGGGAAAGACTTACTTATTTAACATGATCATAACTCTAGTGCTAACTCAAACTGTGACCTGTGGTAGGTTGCATCTCTAGTTCCTCTCCTGTAAAATGCTAATGTTCCTTCCAACTTCTGTGTTCTGTGATGCTGAGTGTTTGTGGGCCATTCGTTCATTTAGAAGAGTATTTTTTATGTGCCTACTTAGTACCAGGCACTCTTCTACAAGCAGGGGATACAGCAGCGAACAAAACAGATGGAACCCTTGCCCTCACAGAGTTCACATTTCAGTGGTGGGAAGATGATGAACTAAGTGAAATATGTGAATGATACATATTTAAAATATGTAAATAAAATGTGTAAATATGTAAATAATGGACAAAAATAAAGAGGAGTAAGGTATGGAGTGCTAGTGGGAGAAGGTGGTGCACTTTTAATCTGTGGCCAGGCTTCCCTTGTTGAGGGGTTGGCCACTGAGCAAGGAGCTGAAGGAGGTAAGAGAATGAGCCATGAGGTCATAGGGGTGAAGAACCGTCAGAGTCCCTGAGACTGGAGTTACTCAGGCCAAAAGCAGTGTAGGAATGAAGCTGGAGAACTCTGGGATCAGAGAAGTCCAAATGCTAAGTTGAACCTTTTATATCGATATGTGGCCTTCTCCACAAATCTGTCCCATGAAGTCAGCAGACTTTTTCTCCTAGAATTCCCCCTCTGGTCTCTGTGAGAGGCTATCTGGGTGGCTGTTGGGGAAGTGCCAAACTAGTTATGTCCAAGGTTCACACTCTTGCTGGTTGGGCCTTTTGTTCATTATTGATGACAGTTCCCCTGAGGTGCGCTCATGTATATTTAGTTGCATTTGCTGGAACCTGATTCTTTTTCCATCCGGTGCATTTTCCTCCTGCTGCTCATTTCACCATCAGCCTCTCCACCATTCTGCTGTCTCTCCATGATTCCATTTGCTTCTTAACTCTGGGATAAGCAAAGCTCCTGGAATGGTCGTTTGGGATCTTTCCCCTTGATTTCTAGTGACAGGAAAGTTTGATTTTCTAATTTCCTTCCCATTATCAAGGGCTGGTTTCCTGGATGGCTGGAAGAATGCTAGATGGGGTTCATTTATGACTGTCTATGGTAATGTGGAAGTGACAGCACCTAGTGTCCCAAGGCTATGGGGACCATTGGTGACGTCAGCTGTGTTTTGGGAGCAGGCACTGTGGGTGAGCAGTAGAGTTGGAAAGAGTGCTTTTGATGCTTTTATGCATTTCTCCATGGCTTCAGTCATTTATGATAAAGTAGAAGAATGTCTGGCACACAGCTGGCAGGGAATGTTGAGGGTGCCTGAGGTCTGTGGAGCAAGTGCTGGAATCTAGCTGGGAGCATTAGGTGACGCCCATTGTGTAATAGTTGACAACAGCCTCTTACCCCCAATTCCAAAATCCAAAATCTTCAACATTGGAAGATTTGGGTTGCTGGTTTGGCAGCAAGACCTGGCCTTCCCCGACCTGAACTTCTTTAGCAGCAAAAACTGACTGGAACTGACAGGAGGCTATTCATTATCTTAATTTTTGCCTTTGAGTATGAGTTTTATATTTCCCTGCAGAAATATAGTTGTGCTTGATTATTGGGGAATGCCCTAGACCCCACTGTGTGTGTTATATAATACATGGTATATGTACCATAATGCCTTTCTGAAATCTGAAGAATTATGAGCTCTAAAACTCACCTGGTCCCAAACATTTCAAGAAAAGTTGAGGACCTATACGGTAAAAGTAGTAACTTGAGGGAAGGAAGGAGAACACGTTTTGATGGGGAAGAAAAAAGAAAAGCAGGAGAGACCTATTTATTTCAGAGTCATAGTAATTAATCCTGGTGACTAACCATGTTGATGAGCTGTGCCTTTTCTAATAGCTTGGCAACTCTCCTGGGAGGTGAGGAAGAAATGTCCAGCCAGTGTAAAAACTGAAACTCAGAGGGGATAAGTACTTTGCTTAAGATTGAACTAGAACTAGACCCCAGATCTCTCACTACCTAAGCCTGCTAGACACAACCATGCTCTGTTCTTGTTCTCCAGATGAGCTCTACACATCCAGGGGTGCACAGGCTCCCATCAAACCTCCCGTGAGATTTAACCTCCGCACCTCCAAGGACCCAGAGCATGAAGGGTGCTACCTGTCTCTGGGCCACAGCCAGCACTTCGAAGACTGTGGCTTCAATGTGACAGCCAAAACCTTCTTCATCATTCATGGATGGACGGTGAGCTGGAGGAGGGAGCTCTGCTTTCCACAAGATTTGATTTCCTTTGTTTTGGTCAATTAAAAAGAAAGCTGGTGCTTCCAGATCCTAGTCTCTCTCTCCCCGTTTTCTTGTGGGCTGCTTGTGTTTTAGACAGCTGTGAAGAATGTGATGGGCACTTCGCTGAGGGGGCAATCTGGACTCCTGCAGGGTGGTATTTAATGCTGGCACACAGCGGGCTTTCAGAAAGTGGCTCTCTGGAGGGCAGCAGCCCAGCTCCACTTGCTCTTAAGGGGCCCTCTAATTACACTTAATTACATTGGTCAACCACTGCCTCGCGGGGGCCATCCCTCCATTAAGAGCTGAGCTGAACTGAAGCAACTTGACTGGCTCAGAGAGTCCATGAGGAGCCAGCTGGCTGGATTGCTGGCTGCAGTTGGCATGGTGCCCTCCTGTTTGCATAGAGATAGCTCCGTTTAAAGGCACTGGGACTCTTTATGTGCCCTAGCTGAGCAATTCACATTGAAAGGCCCGTGACAAACTTCAACAAAAAGGGTCTTTAACTCTCAGCTTTAGAAGCTTTTGACCAGTGATGGATTTACTCATTCATATAATGACAGTCTGTAGGAAAATGGCACTATTAAGTGAGCAGGTTTCTGCCTGGGCTAATTGGGAGGGGACATTCCTCCTTTTAATGATGAGAAATTCCTATCTGTTACATGCTTTTGGGTGTTTAGGGCTATCACCACCTATTGGGTGTAAGTGCCTACCTACCTAACGTGATTGAAGAGATGAGTAAGGGCCTATTCTCTTGCTACACCCTACAATGAGAATCATGCATTTGAACCTTTTTAAGGCCCCTGTCAAAATGCAAATACAAACTGCCTGCAACTTACAAATGGGTTGCATTCCAGAAAGTTCTTTTGTAATCTGTTTGGAACTTGGAAGCAGTTTCCCATAGAAGCAAGACTGTAAATGGTGTTTGGGTTCCCAGGCCAGGCACAGAAAATCTATTTATCTAATAACGCACTTGTGGATAGGTTTACAACTGGACCTAGTCACCATTTATAACTTTGTTTCTGTGGGAAAATGTGTTCTGAGTTCTAATTTGGGATTCCATCAGTACTCTGGGATCAAGAAGGATGGCAAGTGGGAAGGGGTTATGTGCTAACTCTGTGTTTGCCTAGGAGACAGCATCTCCCTGCATCTCTGGGAGAGGAGCTAATTCTCCAGGGTAACCCTTCTCAGCTGCCTTTGAACATTGGGATAAGCCATTTGCCTGACTATGACAGGGTGTCAGGCTAACCTCAGGCCAGTATTGCCACCAGTGCTACCTCATAGGGTTGTTACTGGACAGTGGGGCAGCAGCATGGGACACCAGCTCTGAAAATCTTAATGAGAAGAACTGGGGATGTAAAGAGCAATGGAACACAAATGCCCATGTAACAATCTGCCTGAGGCTGGCCCTGCTCATGTGCAAATGTTTGGTCCCTGAGCAACCATGGTGAAGGTTCTGGAATTGGCTGGGGAGAGAGTTATGGAACTGAATTCCATATTCATTAGGATATTTGAAACCCATAAGAAGTATTTTTTTTTAAATGTCCTTTTCTCTGCAGATGAGTGGCATGTTTGAGAACTGGCTGTACAAACTCGTGTTAGCCCTGCAGACAAGAGAGAAGGAAGCCAATGTTGTGGTGGTTGACTGGCTCCCCCTGGCTCACCAGCTTTACACAGATGCGGTTAATAACACCAGGGTGGTAGGACACAGTATTGCAAGGATGCTCGACTGGCTGCAGGTAAGGGTATGAAAGGAACTCTTCTTGTTTCATGAGCAGGGTTTTGAACCTGAACCTTAAGAAATACAGGTCAGACTGCATTACAGTGAACTTCAGGAGTCTGAGTATATCTTTGGGATTCAAATTTTTACTGAATTGAGTATTGGTTGAATACTTGAAGGCTGGGACTTTAAGCTTTTTAGTTACTGATATCCGGATTTTTCCTGTTCCTTTATTTGTGGAAAGAAAATTTGCCTTCTGGGCCATTACTTTTTGATACTCTTAGGTTGGGAATGGTCAGCAGCCAGGACCAGCTTGTAATTTTAAATCCCTGCTGAAGTCTGCTCCTGCCTGTGAAAGGTGGCTGTCCTGAGGGTAAGGAGAGGGTTGGCCCAAACAAATAGAGCCTAATGCCCCGCTTAAAGTACTAAGTGTGGAAAACAGATCTTGAGGTCTTAAATTTACTCTTTAAAGGTTTGTGATTTGCCTGAGATCAGGGGACTTACCTGGGGGCAGGTGTGGACTGGCAAAGTGACCTGACTATCACAGCAATTCCAGCCTGACCTTCCTTTGGCCCATGGAATCAGATGAATTCTGGCAGAATTCTGATCTGGATGTTTGAGCAGTCCCTCAGTGCCCAGCTAGGTTGCTTCGTAGAGCTTGGTTCCTGAGCTTTATTGGTCAAAGCCCCACCTCCTCATCCTTTACTAGTGGAGGGCCCTACCAGGGTACCATGCTTCAACTCGGGGGTCTCAGGTGGGCTTGTGGTGAGCAGGTTAGCAGCTCCTGGGGCCTAAGAGGGCAGGTAAGGAGTGCTGCAGACTGTGGCTGACACTTAGTCCCCACTGAGTCTCGTGGCTTTGACTTCCACACTGCCACCCCTCCCTCCAGTCCCTCTTAGTGCCAGAAAGAACAGAAGCAAGTAATGGAAGGGTCAGGTATTCAGCTCTAGCCACAGCCTCCACCCTGCCCCTAGTGCTTGGCATTTTGTCGGTGACCCTGTGGGCTCAGGACCATGCTCTTTGCTCACACACTTCTGTGGCTTCTTGCAGGAGAAGGATGATTTTTCTCTCGGGAATGTTCACTTGATAGGCTATAGCCTTGGAGCTCATGTGGCTGGGTATGCTGGCAACTTCGTGAAGGGCGCAGTGGGCCGAATCACAGGTAAGCTCTGCTTCCTCTTCTGACAGCGGATTTCCAAGCTCCCTCAGCTCCTGTGCCAAGCTGGCTTTTCTGAGAGAGAGTGCCTCCAAAGAGGCATGGGCAAGCCACAGAGGGTTAGCTTCGGAAGAAGCCCAGCGAACACCGAATCCAGAGATTTACAAATGTTCCTTTTAGTCACAGAGCCCTTTTTTCAAATTGAACTTCTGTGCGACCCCAGTAAATGAAACAGAAAGAATGTTCTGGTCGAAGCTGGATATATGGCATGGAGTGTTAGCCCTGCGTTCTGGTCTTCTCCTTCCCTGGAGGAATCTCAGGGTCCCAGAGCACCAGGGAACACAGTTTGAAAACCACTGGCCTAACCTATCAGGTGAGGAAGTACCCAGGGACAAACAGCTAGTAACTAAAGGGCAGAACTAGGGTGGAGCCCTGGCCTCACTCTGCTCTCAGCTGTGATACTCCAGGGCCTCTGGGGAAAAGGATGTGGGTGGAGTCCATCTTGAATTCTGCCTCTGACTTCTACTTCGCCCACAAACAGCCTCTTTCCAGTGTTTTCCTGGCACATTTATCAGTATAATTACCTGTTTAGAATGGGTGCTTAACCTCTGTCATTAGAGAGACCTTTCCGATATTGGTACCCAGGTTGTCAATTGAAAATTGAGTTTTCCATCTTAGTGAGCTTTTGATGTGAGAGTTTGGATTAAGTCACTTAATGGTTGTGAAAAGCGGGAAAGATTCTCTTTCCAACTTTTGGGTTCCCTTAAATACATACACAGAACTTCCTCTAGGCTAAAATTAGCGGCCACCTTGTTGCCCGAAACCTTTGTCCCCCCTTGCAGCAGTCTGATGACAGTCTTCACTCCCAGCCTCCCCCCACCCCCAAGACAATTAGGGCCCCACAGGTCACCTAGACAGAAACATTTGATCAACTTCTTTCGTGGCAGTGCTTTTATTTTAATACAGGACTCAGGCAGAAGGAAGTCCTTAGCTGAAGAATGATTTAGTAAAGGTGGGATTCAGGTTTCAGCAATAGGCTGGTGGGGTAGATTTAAAAATGCATATACTTGTGAGGTTTTATTTGCTCTCCTCAAATTATCTCTCAGCTTAAGTCTAATGTGCATGACCACATGTGCGTTCATGCACACACACACGCCTTTAGATCAGTTACTTGATTTAGCATAGCTCGAGAGCTTTATTTTTGATTACGTGGACTGTGGGGCCTGAGCTGTTTAGGTGGGTAGCGATCGTGTGACCTCACACGACTGCTCATTAACCCACAGCCAGTGCACAGCTGTTCAGCTCTAAGCCACTCTGGCTTGATTCAGAGCTGGGCCAGTTGTGCTCAGACTGTGGCACACAAGGCCCCCGCCAGAGTATCATGGCAGCAAGGACAAGCTTCGACCCTTCCTTTTCCTCCTCCTACATCTGAAATGAGATGGGGCTAATGAGGAGTTTTCTAGTTCTTTCCTCCTTCCTGTCTGGGTGGCAGTTGCTGAGGCGTGGGCTTTGCTGGCAGAATGCTAATCAGTGTTCTGCGCTGTCCGCGCGGAGCCTGGGGGCCTGCGTGTGCTCAGCATAGCCCCTACCTCCTCTGTGGAGCAGGCGCTGGTGGGGGTGGGGAGCATACAGGAAGGAGTGGCCTCCGTCCAGTTGCCAAGCAGCACCTCAGAAGGCATTCGGCTCACCTGACACATGCTGTTGTGCATGCCTGATAGAGGAGGCTTGTGTGCTCTCTCCCCCGCTTGGTAGACTTCCCATGGGCCTGGGAACCAGGTGGTCCCTCTTGAAATAAGACCAGAGACTGCAGCTTTTGTTGGGTCCTAAAGCCAGTCAGGCCGCTGTGCAGAGGCCAGTGGGGGGACTTTGGCCTGCGGCCCCAGGGGGATACCTGAATCCCAGTCTTGCTTGTCTCAGAGAACTGTGGACTGAGCTTTGCCAGAGCTTTTCCTTCTTAGGCTTCTAAGAGAATTCTGTGATACTAAGGAAAAGGTCACATATTTCTAATTAAACCTGTGTCTAGTTAGTTATAGATAAATAAAGGGATTCACTCATCCATTCAAGAAATGAAGTAAGTGTCCACTTTGTGCAGCCTCTGGGCTAGGTGCTACCTAATGTCAAGTACCTACTGTGTGACAGGTACTTTATTCTGTCTCTAAGACATATAGCAACCTGACAAAAGAGGTCCTTTTGGTTTCATTTTACAGATGTGGAAATTAGCACAAATAATCGGCCCGATATCTTGGACTCAGGGTGGCAGAGCTGGGATTTAAACCCAGGCTGTCAGATTCCAGAGCCTGCACTTGGCCACTGGGCCACGCTGCCTTTCCTCTGTTGGTGAAGGTAAAGGGTCAGTTGAAGTACCACAGACTGTCCTGTCAGGCCAGAATGCAGTGGTTTCCTCCGTGTGTGTATGTGTGTGTGCCTGTGCGTGTGTGCATGCATCCATTTGCTGGACAGAACACCTTTGGAAGAGTCTGACTGGCCAGAAGAAGGGGTGGTTTTCTATCTTGTTTTTGTTTTTGGAAGGGTTAAGTTCGCCCTCCCATTCCTAGTTAGAAAAGCAAACTGGGCAACTTTTCCCCAGAGTCTGCAGGCCCTGGCTATATGTCAGGCCGGGTCAGTCTGGGTAGGTGAAGACTTAGCCTGCATGCCTGCCATCCTGTGAGAAGCCCTGTCAGCTGCCTGCATTCCTCTGGTACAGCTTGGTTTCCATGGCACTGACCGTCTGGCGGGGACTTTTGTTCACACCAAGCAAAGGGCCCCTCTCTTGTATTGACTGCACAGCAGAATGTTCCTTTTTTTTCTCTTCCAGGCAACATAGCGAGAGGTGGGGGAGGCTGCTTGGCAGCGCTGCTGTGGTCCTTACACCCTCTGAAATGAGTTACCCTGGGCTATTCTGGGAGGGTGCTGCTTTCATGCCATCTTTCTTTTGGGTCCTGGGCAGCCTGCCTTGGTCCATATGTTTATCTAAACTTCTTCTAAAAATGGATTAGCATTTCAGCTTCTGCCAGTTCTCATGAGTGATGAGTTTCACAAGTGTATTGTTCACTCTAGACAATAGCTCTGCCTCTTGTTTATCCTAAAATTACCCCCGAAGCCTTACAGTGTGCTCCTTGGTTCTGCTGTGCTGGGGTCTGGTGCATTCTGTTACCCCTCTCTTCCTTTCATGACTCTGTTTTTGGTCATATCTCCTCCCTGCCTTGGTGTTTCTAGATGAGGGTTTCTCAGCCTCAGCACCATTCACATTTGGGGCCAGTTAATGCTTTGTTGAGGGAGATGACTTGAGCACTGATGGATGTTTATCAGCATCCCTGGCTTCTACCCTCCAGATGCTAGTAGCTTCTCTCCCTCTCCCCTCAATTGTCACAACCAAAAATGTCTCTAGACAGTGCCAAATGTCCCCTGGGGAGCAAAATCACTCCCAGTGGAGAACCACTGTTGTAGACTAAACAGACCTCCTTCCTCCGCTGTGCATTGTCTTTTCTTAACCTTGTCCAAGCAGGTCCTCTGTCGGTCTGTATGTGAAGAGCTTTCTAGGTTGGGATGAATTTGGTTCCCATGGTTACTTGGGCTTGGTAATATAGCTAGTATTTGCACTAAGAAGTACTTAATCTCTTAACAGCTCACTTGAATTGTATGAATTAAGACTTTCAATTTCTATTTTATGAATGATACTGAAGCATGGAAACATTTTTCAAAATCTAGTCCACAGATCCTTGACTTTTAGGATGCCCTGGAGAAAAAATATATATATTTCTGGGCTTCACACCAGACCTACCAATCAGAATCTCTAGGGTGCCAGGGGATCTGTACTGAATGCTTTGCCAATTCCTTTTCTGAATGGCTTTACATTTATGTGGTTCCAAAATTAAAAGATGGTGAAAGTGGTCCTATTGTTGTCACTACCCACCCAATTCCCATCCCTGCCCTCTCCCCCAACACATACATACACAGGTACATAGGTGACCAGTGGCTTGTTTATCTTCCCAAGTTTTTCATAGCTACCTAGTGAAATCTGAATTTTTTAACAAGCTCCCCAGGGACACGTGTGTTGTTTCAAATGTGAGAACCAGTACTTTCTACTGTGCTGCTTGCCAGTTCAATATAGAAAGTTTGTAGGTAAAAAGGTTTCTCCCTATAGCTGCAAGAGAGGAATTCTGGAGGCCTGATTCTCAGTATCTGATGTACCCTCACTCTCACCGTTCTACCCGTGAGTCTGATTCATAACTAAGGGAAGGAGAAGAGTAAGTCCAGGTACAAATAGCTCTGTTGGGGGAGACTGAGTCTTTCCTCCAGAAAATGTAGGTAGCTTAGTTATCCTATAAAGAGCCTGTTAAATTAAGGCTGTGGGAGGTTCTCAGTGTAGTAATAAGTGGGGTGAAGGGCTTAGTTTCAGCCAGTTTGCGTTCTTTCTAGACCTGCTGTAGTTCTGACAGTCTGTGTCTCCTTGGAGGTCCATGTTAGTGTCAACCGTGTGGCTGCCGTACTGAGTCAGCTGAGTTATTGGGACAGGTGAAGGCTTCAGAAGAGTGTATAAGTCTCTTGGCAGTAGGCACGAGACTCCAGATTTGAAGGGCTGGACTCTGCAGATGGCTCCATTCTACATACCTGAAAACTTAGCTTTCAATCAGGACTCACTAACTTGGTGCATCTGACAGAGTTGGTCTTGGCTCCTGCTGCTGTAGGTTTGGATCCAGCTGGGCCCATGTTTGAAGGGGTGGACATCCACAGGAGGCTGTCCCCTGACGATGCAGACTTTGTGGATGTCCTCCACACTTACACGCGTTCCTTCGGCTTGAGCATCGGGATTCAGATGCCTGTGGGCCACATTGACATCTACCCTAATGGAGGTGACTTCCAGCCGGGCTGTGGACTCAGTGATGTCTTATCAATTGCATATGGAAGTGAGTTCCTTGTTTTCTGTTTCATGTGGATATTTGACTAAGTTTTCACATCTCCTCCTAAGTCAGCCAGAGCTGTTGGTACTTGTAGCAACATTCATTTCATCTTTCCCAACATGGCCCCCACAATGCTGTTTACAGCTCATCACCCTGCAAGCCCGTTAACAGCTATTCAGTGGTCTCTGCTCTGCTTTCTTGGGTTTTGAGGTCACAGTTATTATTAATTTATTTTTATAACAAAAATAATATGTTTGTTGGACAAAATCAAGCAATATAGGCTTGTATAATGCAAGAAGTAGAAATGCCCATTCACCTCCCACTCCCTCTTTTACTCACGAAAGGTAGCCAATTAAAACAATTTTGTGTGTACCTTCCAATCTTTTTTCTTTGCAAATTTGTGTATGTGTGTCTAATTGCATTTTTCAAAATCACACTGTTCTGCAACTTTTCTGTCATCATATATATTTTGGACATTCTGAAACATCAGAGCACATAAATCAACTTACCTTACTCTTTTAAAAGGCTATATAATATTTTATAGCATGAATGCATTATAATTTAATTTTATGTAACATTTTAAAGAGTAAAACCAAGATGCTTTCTGTAGTTACTTATGGTTTATCTTCTGAATGCCTGAGCCTATTCCAGCAGACTTGGGGTGACCTGAATTTGTTGCTGAAACTGACATGCAGCCTCAGTGATCATCCCCTTCTGGGATTCCCATTCATTCACTGCCTTGGATACTGGCACTATTTCTAAGTCTTGGGCCCAGCTGGCTCTCTAAACTCTGATGCTTTGCCCTCTGGATGTTGTACTCTCTCGTTTAGTCCTAAGACTGTTACCCTCTTTCAATGTAATAATATACCAGTGGCCCCTGCAGGGCTCGGCGGTCCATACAAGGGGAGTTCAGCTCTGCCTTAGGGGATCTGATGGTGGCATTTCTTAAGGCTGGTAGTGTTATTGAGGAAGGGGTAGGCTGACTTAGCCAAATGTCTCTTTTCCAAAGGTCCTAGAATTTACTCAAACTATTGGCTTTAGCCTCTAGTTACAAGAAATATGATGTACTATAGGCCAGAAAATCCAAATTATACTTCTAATTTTGTAACCAACTGATTGTGTGATCCTGAGCATATTACTTTACCTCTATGAGCCTTTGGGTCATAATCTAGAATTGAAAGCATTGGACTAAAATGGGGTTGACAAACATTTTCTTAAAGGGTCAGCTAGTAAATGCTTTAGGTTTCACGGGTCATCCAATCTCTGCATCAACTACTCTGCTCTATTAACATGCAAACAGCCAACTATAATAAACAAATGAGGGTGGCTATGTTCCAATAAAACTTTATTTACAAAAATGGGTCCAAGCCATAGTTTTCTGAATCCTGGACTAGATGCTATTGAGCATCTGATCCATTTCTAGCATTTTGTGACCATACAACTCCATCAGGATCTACTGAGTCCTACTGCATAACTGGTCTTCATCACCCTATTTAGTGCTTATTACATGTGCTCCCTTGCTCATCTTGCTTTGTGTGTATGAGTGCTATCCTCCCACCTGGAAAGCAAACAGTTAAGTGGCAGGAATGGCCTTCAATTCGTCTGTATCCTAATGGGAGCCTAGCCCATCACCAGGCTTGTATTAAGAATTACACAAACAAGAGCACTAACAGCAACAAGAAAAGTAGTCATTACTGATGAAGTGTCCAGTATGTACTGGTTGAGTGGGTGAATCATGCACAGGCGACTCACCCTGCACGGTCTCTGCTTCTCCTCCCGCAGCAATCACGGAGGTGATGAGATGTGAGCATGAGCGAGCCGTACACCTCTTCGTCGACTCCCTGGTGAATCAGGACAAGCCAAGCTTTGCGTTCCAGTGCACAGACTCAAACCGCTTCCGAAAGGGGATCTGTCTTAGCTGCCGAAAGAACCGTTGTAATAGTATTGGCTACAATGCCAAGAAAATGAGGAACAAGAGGAATAGCAAAATGTACCTAAAAACCCGGGCAGGCATGCCTTTCAGAGGTAACCCTCAGTTTTGCAGTGCTTTGAAGAGGGACCTTCATCTTTCCCTCCTTCTAAATAGCATTTTGTAGAACAAGGAACATCCCAGCCTGGAGACATGGTGGGCACAGTTAAACCAAATCATTGCAAATCAGATTATGTTGTGCCCACCCCAGGAAAGCTAATCCTTAAAAACAAATGGTGTGGACTCCTTTCACGATGGGCATCCTCATCCCATGATCATAGCATCAATATCTTAAATTTCTGCCTTGGATTTAACTTTTCAAAGCTGTTCCATATGTGTTTTTTCACTTGATTGTCACAACAAATCTGAGATAGAATCAACAGGGAATCAAAATGATATTTTGCCTTTGTATAACATATTATAAAACCATAAGGTTCTTTGAGTATTGTGGGCATTATTTTACAGATGAGGAAGTTGGGGCTCAATGAGGTTGGTACCTTGGTCCTTAGTTCATGGCTGCACAGCTAGAGAGTAGCTAGGCCACAATCCTGGAAAGATCCCCCAGAGCCACAGTTCCAGGGCTCCTCCTTCTATACTGCAGTAACCTCTTCCAGAAGGAGCCCAGAGGGAAATTGGAGGCTGGGCTGGACCAAAGGGACATCATCTCCTAAAAACTCAGCCTGCTGGGTGACGCAGTTTGGGTCAGGGTTCCCTGAGATGGCAAGTAAGGCTCACAAACGGCTTTGTCCTGCTGTCTCTGCAGTTTACCATTATCAGATGAAAATCCATGTCTTCAGCTACAAGAATATGGGGGAAACCGAGCCCACCTTTTATGTCACCCTTTATGGCACCAATGCAGACTCCCAGATCCTGCCTTTGGAGATGTAAGTCACGAGTTTCCTTTGCTAGTTTCAGGACTGAGAACAAGTTGGTTTGAGAATGAGAGAGCATGCGGAAATGTGTGAGCGAGTGCAGGAGGGTGCAGCCCGAGTGCCTGGGGAGGAGCTGGCAGTTCAGCTAAGCTCTGTAGTCCTGCTCTTGCTGTATGGTCTGTACAAGCTCTTACTCAGACCATTTCTCGGGGGGAAGCTCCCGAGATGAATCAGCACTATGAGAAACTGCTGGATCAGCTGGGCAGAAACTACTGTTTCATTTCAGGCAACGCCTGACACCTGACACTTTAGGAAATTTGGAACTGCATAAATTTCATCCGTGGACCATTTCGAACTATCTGTGGGAGGGGCACAGAGCAATCTGTATGTATCTTTTGAGCACTCACAAAGTACAAAGCGCTGTGCCGAGTCACGCTGGGATTGCAAAGTAACATCGTCGAAGTACTTGCCTCTCAGGGCTCTGGGTCTAGAGGAGAGACCAGGTTTGCACACACACACACACACACTCATGTGCACAAATGGACCGAGGCAGTCCCCCCAGTCCCCAGGTGGGACAGGCAAGAAGGGGCTGAGGGTTCAGAGGAGACAGCTGCCTGGGGGCTGAGAGGAGTGGGGCGCTGCTGAGTTGGGAGGTGAGCTCTGTGTGCTTTCTGATTTCTGCCTGCCCTTTCTTGGCCTGTCCCACCAGGAAGTAGTGCCAATGGGGAGATGCCCGGGAATGGTTTTGATAAGAAGCCGGTGTGCTGTGGGCAAAGTTCTGTCAGTGTAGAGCACGTGCGGAGGGCGTGGGAGAGGGGCCTCACCTCGGAATCCATTCCTTGTTCTGTTTGCCACACTGTTTCACCAATGGGTTTCACCCCCAGGCAAGTTCACTGTTGATGCAGTGAGACCGAAAAATGACAATGGAATGTTCTTGGGGTGAAAGCATTTATACCCAGCTTTATTCTTTCCCTCCAGTCAGTGTGGGGCAGGTGCTACCCCTAAATCACCACACACAGGGTAGCGGTTTTCCAGTTGGCAGGAGAGTCACACCTGCTCTGTCCCCTTGTAGAGTGGAACAGATCTGGCTGAATGCCACCAACACTTTCCTGGTCTATACAGAGGAGGACTTGGGAGACCTCCTGAAAATCAAGCTCACCTGGGAGGGGACATCTCAGTCCTGGTACAACCTGTGGAAGGAGCTTCGTAGCTACCTGTCTCAACCCCGCAACTCTGAAAGAAAGCTGAATATCAGACGCATCCGGGTCAAATCTGGGGAAACCCAGCAGAAGTAAGTGTCTTGTGACACTTTTTGGGCCCCACGGCAATGATGAGCAGAAGGCCTGTGCTTCTGCAGCATCCTTTTCTTTGCTAAGCACACACCTTCAGTCTTTCTGTATCCAGAGCAAACCTCAAACACCTTTGCAAAGAAAAGTGAATTCCAGATCAAGTCGACTGTTGTGCAGCTTGTGTCCTGATCATGGGCCCTCAGCTGAGAGAGGTGGGCGAGTGGGGATCGGAATCCAGACCTTGTTCTGTTTGCCACATCGTTTCACCAATGGGTTTCAGCCCCAGGCAAGTTCACTGTTGATTCGGTGAGACTGAAAAATGACAATGGAATGTTCTTGGGGTGAAAGCGTTTATTATACCCAGCTTTATTCTTGTGATGGCAGGTCAAGCGCTAGAATTCCGTCCACCTCGGGGCAAGTCTGCATGCAGCAAGCAGGTCTCTGTCTCCATGCCTCTCCATCACTGCAGCCATCTCAGTCTCTGTTGTAGGTGTTGCCGCCACTCCAGCCTCTGCTCTCCTGCAGCTGTGCAGCCCAGAACACTGGGCGGAGCTCTTTATATAGCGTCAGTAGTAACATATTGCTCACACTTGTGCAGTGGGCCAGCCAACCAGAGTCAGGTGAGAGTCCTGGCCATAGGGACTTTCATTTCTCTACACATGCCCTGTGTGGGCTCCAAAGAAGGGGGCTTCTCCTAGACAGGGCTCTTCAGGAGCTCTGCCAATCTGTTTGCTGTGGGGCTCATGCAACCAAAAGTCTTTGCTTGCTCTTGTCCAGAGCAAACCAGAGTATCAAGTCTAGGACACCCCTGTGGATGAGGTCTGTGGGAGGACCTGGTTTCCCTAGCACCCATTTTCAGAACACTCTACCTCTCCTTTGGAGGCTCTGAGTCAAGGATTGATCAAGTAACTCAATCCTCTGTGCTATGCTAGCTGACAGCTTCCTCACAGCTTTTAATCCTATGCCTAAAAGAAAAATCCAGACCTTTATATATCAGCCTCTAAAACCATGCCTTGACTCTCTGAGCAGGTTTCTTTCTAAGTAGAAGCCAGAGAAGCCTGGAGACCTTTGTCAGGAGAGGAGGGTTTCCTTGGCCAAATCTTTCAGCAGACCTCTGGGAGGTCATTGCCAGCCTTGGGATGATAGGAAGCAGCCTCCACCCTCTTTATATCTCATCTGGCATTTTCCCCATTACAGTGCTTCATGTTTCCTGTTTCTATCCATCACCTACGGTACAGCTTGGCCTTGGCACCATATGGCTAAAGCACAGCCATGTTTTGGTTCAACATCTGGCTAAACATTTGCAGAGTTTTGGCTACATGGGTCGTTTCTTTTTCCTTCTAGATTGACTTTTTGTGCAGAAGACCCTGCGAACACCAGCATATCCCCTGGTCAAGAGCTCTGGTTTCACAAGTGTCAGAATGGCTGGAGAATGAAAAATGAAACCAGGTATTTCCTCCTTTGTTCATGAAGGACACATTGCTGGGGCACCTAGCATGTGCTGGACATAGTGATAGGCACTTGGGTCATAGCAGTGAAGAAATATAAAACCTCCTTCCTTTATGAAGCTGATCTGCCAGAATAAGATAGACAGTTCAGTGGAATACCTAGAATGTCAGAAGTGTTCATGGCCCTTTGCTTCTTGTTCTGCTTCATCCTGGAGATGTTCATGGTCCATGGCCCTGCTGGAACGTCTTTCAGTGACTAAGTCCCCAGGGTTGGTGCCCGAGCCCCCTTCTCAGATTGAACTTCTCCAGGGCTCCTAGATTCCTTCTGGGCACCAGGTTGGAGGAGGAAGTCATGTGGGTGGTAAAGGAGAAGCACAAAGTATAGCTTTCTCTTATAGGTTTTCTGGTACTAGGTTGATGTGAGTAGATACCAGTGGACAATTCTCCCCCTTTTGAGAACCAGGAATGCTCATGCGTGTCACACTGAATCAGACAAAGGAGTCATCCTGCTTCAGTGTCCCATTGCCCCCTACTGGAGTCCCACTATTACAGAGCTGAGGAAGGTGTGAGGCAGTGGCTGCATCCAAAAGGGGAATCCGGCACACACCCTCTGAGCCTAAACATCTGCCGCAGAGGAGGGAGACGGGCCCCCACTGGCCCCCACCCCTTGCCCCAGCCAAAGCTCTAGGTAATGATGCTGCTGCCCACCCTGTGGGCAGTGCCTTCTGTACGTTAGCTCATTGTTCTCACCGGCCCCCTGAGCTGGCGTTGCTAACCATGTGCACAGTTCAGGAAGCTGAGGCCTGGGGGAGGGCAGGGCACTCTGTCCAGGTACCCCAGCTGGCAATGGCAGAGTGAGGATTTGATTTACTCTAAAACCTGTGTTCTTTCTTGCACATGGAGATTCCACTTGCTCAGATAAACCACCTCACCTTGATCTGGGTATCAATTATCAAGCAGCTGTGCCCAGGCTGGGGCCGCTGTGATTAACTGTCTGCCACCCGCAAGGAGCGGGCTATACCTGTTCAGAAGCATTAGTGTGACCACAAGCTCAATGATCACAGGACTTGTGGGATTCTGAAAACTGCCTGTCTAATTAAGTGTCTCAGTGTAATGGAGGCTCATTGATGTTCTGCTGTAAGAATAATTTTAATGCTTCGTGTTTGTATTTAAATGTATACCTTTCCAAGTGCTTCCACATAGATTAACTTCATTGATCCTCAGAACAACCATGCAGAATGGACATGCCCAGGAAGGATCACTATTCTCATTATTCTTATGATAATAAAGTATCTTATAAGAGTTTGATAGGTATGTAAAAGAGCTTGGTCTTAAACAGAACACACCCTCGGTACAGGCTGGCCTGTTTGCTAAGCAAGCTAACAAACACCGCTCTTGCCTGGTTCCTTTCAGTCCGGCTGTGGAGCATCCCTGAGGGGCCAGCAAGGCCTCCCACACCGAGCCCGCCAAGCACGTGGAGGAAAGTTACTGCTGAGGACCCACCTGAGGGATGGATCCCTCATGGCCTTGCCCCTGGGGCACTGGGAAAAGCCTGCTTGCTGGGCCTGTGACCTTGCCTCCTGCGACAGCTGGGACTTCTTGCCAGAGGAGACAGTGCACTGCTGCTCCTGCGGCTGCTCTAGAATAGCTCTGACTCCAGATCTGTGTGCAAACGGCTGAGGGCCCAGGCCTCTTGTGTATGCTGGACTGGTTTCTAAGTGACTGATGAGCCTGTATACTTGACAAGGAACACGGGCTCTGAAGTGGCTCTGCATGAAAGGTTGTCAGCTGCCCAACCTGACTTGAGTCATGGTGAGAGGTCTTTCCACTGGGAGCTGATTTGCCTCAGGATGGCAGCCCTATGACCTCGTTCACCCAGAGAGGGGAGAGTAGATCTGGGGCAGCACCGAGGCCCTGACTGTTGGGGTTCAATGGGCTGCATTGATCAAATACTGGTTATATTTTAGACATTCTGTTTTGCTCCCTGACTCTCTCTCTAAAGCACACATAACTGGCCTTATTTTTCCATTGCTCATTTTTTGATTGGACAAATGTTTATTAAGCACTTAAACTTAACTGGCATGTGGCAGTAGACACATTAGTAAACCTCTCCATACTCTGTCCTCATTTGGCACCTAATAGGGTTGGGATTTCTAAACTCCCTTCCAGTTTAGATGGTCCATGAATATACCTGTGATGAAAGGCACTAAAGGCATCAGGAGGGCTGCAGGATGAAAGAGTTGGAAACCCTGGGGATTTAAGTGGTTTCTATCTATTTCTTCTTAGTTAACATGCACATTCCCCCTGAGAGTGGCAGGTGTGATCACTAGCAGAGTAGCAGAATATCATACCTGCTGGGACAGAATGGTGGCCAATTGCAGAACCTGATTGCTTCAGAGCAAAATCTCTTCTGTTTAGGAAGATGGAAGGCATTACATATGTTATACATATCTATCTATGCAGATACCAGAGCTGGCGCCAAGATTTAATGCAATGCTTTTTCCTTCTTGGGAGATCCTGCTCTACACCAGTGCCTTTTCTGTATTCTGAACTTGTTGGAAAAGCCTCCAATTCTAGATCTTGGTTTAAATGAATTTACATGATACCTGAGAAACCCTTTTATGCTTTTCAAAAGATTTGCATGCTATCACCTACCTGGAGATTCACAACGAGAGGTGAGCGGGGCAGCTCTTACTTATCTCTATTTCACAAAACTAAGGCTTAGTGAGCTCAGTCACACGCCTGGAATTATACACCAAACTGGTGGTGGAGCCAGTGAGGACCCAGATTTCCTGGCGGCAGAGTCTGGGGTATGCTCATCTCGGCAACTTCATCAAACCGTCTATTGCTATTTCCCACCAATATGTCCCACATGTGCAAACAGGGAAGGTTTTTCAGAGCCATCCATAAAACTGTAACTCCTTTCATTAATATAACCACAACCAGGAGAAAGACTGCCAAGGCATTGAGCTTTTTATGGGTAAGATTTATTTGGAAGGAGATATGATGTCTTGTATGGGGGAAGAGTAATTTTCTTTGTGCTTAGGTTTTTAAAGAACATTGTTTTAATCTGTATTGTGCCAAAGTTGTATCATTGTTCAATGCCAAACTTCGGAAGATATGACCAGTCAAGTTTTAATTCAAGGTGTTTTCTCAGTCCAGTTGTGTACTGTTTCTGTTGCTTCTGTGATTGTTTTCCAGCCAAAGTGGAGCTTGTCTTACTGACTGTACATTCTAGTTACTTCTGACTCCTGTTTTTAGTAACAGAAGCCTTGGGAATCAAATCTTCAATGGGTCCTGTATTTATACATTTGGCTTGAAGCCTTATTTGTATATAACGATGCTTTTTTTTTTTAATGCTTAGAGCACTATTTATTTCACAAGTGTATATAATGTTTAAAAACAAATATGTAGTTAGTTTTTACTTTCTGATTAACCAATTTCAAGATTAAACATTTTTAATAGAAAATAATAAAAATATATGAAATTCTCAGTGGTCTGGCAGCTCAGTTCTTAAAATTTTAAGGAATTATGACTGCCCAAGCCTAAAATTTGACAAAAAGTTATTTTAATATAAGATATATTCTCTATTTGATACTAATTGTTGGGAGAAAATGGACAACAGCTCCTTTCATTAAGGGACAAGAAGAAAATTTATTTGATTTGCAGTAGAAATGCCTAGAAGTAGGAAGAAGAGGGAGGGTGGTTGGACATAGGAGAACATTGGTGAGGATCTAGGTTTTGTTGCATGAGACTTAGATAACAGGGAGTTAAACCAGATGGAAGTTGAATTCTCTTTTGTGTTTAAGTCCCAACTGGTATTGAGGCACTGTTCCAGAAAGCCAGCAGGACTCCAGGCACTAAGTTTTCTCAGTGCCATTCATAGGATGTTCCCCTCAACTCTACAGTCCAAAGTTTCCTCCATTAGGTTCCTTTCCAGCCCATGGGAAGGTGGAAAGGGAAAGGGGAGACATGTCCCCTCTTAAGAATCTGAGAAGTAGTCTACATTCTATTGGCCAGAAATCAGTCAGAATTTCTCTACCAGAAATTTACAGGAAATGTACTTAATGAAAAAACGTTTGACTTATCCTCTTTACATTAGTATGAAGACAAGGATCCCTGCTGTCTTCCTACTGTTTGACATAGTACTGTATATCTGGCCAATGCAATAAAAAAAGAAAAAGAAAGAAGTGGCATAGGATTGAAAGGGAAAAAAATCAACAACCCTCATATTATTTGCAAATTGTATAATCACCTACATAAAAAACTAAGAAAGTAAATGGACTAATGATTAGAAATGAGATAATTTATCAAGGTTGCTAGATACAGGACCAGATAATAAAAATCAATAATCTACCTCTTTAAGGCTAAGTATTATCACATCCTTTTTGCAAATGAGGAAATGGAGGCACAGAGAGGTTAAGTAATTTGCCCAGGGTTACACAACTAGTAAGTGGCAGAATTAGTATTTGATCAGGTCATCTGGATTCAAATTCTGTGTTCTTAATTTTATGCTATACGAATCAGACAAAATTAATAGACAGATGGCAGACTAGGAGAAGATACCTGTGACATATGACACTGATAAGAGGTTGATATCTAGTATGTACAATGAACTTCTGAAATCAGCAAGAAACATACATAATTCCAGTAGAAAGTAGGAAAAAATATGAAAAGAATGCAAATGAATTGTATGAAGAAATGCTGAAACTCCCAGAAATAAAATAAATGTAAATTACAATAGCAAGATACCACTTTATATCATCAGAATGGCAAAAAAAAAAGATAATACGTGTTGGTACAGATGTTCAGAGACAGAACCCTTATGCACTTCTGGTACTGCCATTTTGGAGAATAATCTAGCTGTGCTTGTAAATTTAAATATATATGACACAGCTGTCTTGTTTGTGCATATAGTCCACAAAGCTATTGTCATATTGGTCCCTTATTGGATTTATATAAGGATATTTATACATAAAATATACACGACAGTTTTAAGCAAACATACAATTACTTAACTGCCATGGCATTTTTATTTTAAAACTTTTAAATCTGAATATAAAAAAATGTCAAGACACTGCTTTAGATGGTGTAGTGGTTGTGTGGAGGGCCACCCAAAGGTCCCCCTTAGGACTGAGGCTCTTACTCCCACAGCTGCTGGGAGTATTGGCAGTTGAGGGCTCTTATCTGAGCCTCTCTCCAGGGATTGGCCTCGGCTAACCCAGGGGCTCAAGGTGTACTTCCCAGGGGCAGTACACACCAATAACTAGATGATAAGGCCGCACCTCCTTGTCTTAAGACAGCACGACCTTGAAGGGCCATGGGGGCTGCAGAGCTCCTGGCAGGGTCAGTGGAAGCCTTTGCTGCATCATAGGTCAACTGTTCCCCTTCAACCCCACTGCCTTTGCTCCCCCATAAGCACTGATCCTGAGAGTACTTCCCAGTGAAAGTCCTGCACACAGACCTCCATCTGGGAGTCTGGTTCCCATGGAATCCAACTGAAGACAGAGGATTATTTCCCAATCAGCTTGTAATTAACTCAAGGGCTTAACAGATGTGGATGGAGGACCCAAGGCCGGCCCATGAGGCACAGGGATGGGGTGTGGGGGAAACAGGAAGCCAGTTATCACTGGTCTGTTATGACTGTTTGCTTATGGTCAAAGTCACTTATCTCACTAGAGGTGCTTTCCCTTTCACAAGGCATCCTTTGGAACCACCCCGGCTCTGGGAGGAGGGGAAGGAGGTGCTTTCCCTTGTAGACATCACTGTCACTGTTTGAAACCACCCCGACTTGGGGAAGAGGAGAAAGCACCTGGCAGCCTTCTTCTTCCTTTTCAGGGTGGCAGGGACATGGATGACAAATGAGAGAGAGACGGGGGAAAGAGGAAGGCTTGCCAAGCAGGTCAGCAAAGCTGAGCAGAGAAGCTTCCCTGCTGGGACAGGGAGTGTTCAGGCAAGCTCTGATGGACGTGGGCAAGACTCACGTCATAACTTTTCTCAACTCCTGTTCGATGGGGATGGGAGTGTGAGATGATAAGTAGGAGGAAATAGTATCAAAAATGGTAAAATTAAACATTGTGATACTTGCACAAATTTTTATTCACCCCTACTGATGCTATGAAAATCAGAGTGATCAGAACTGACAGGTGGGCAACCCGGATCCTAATGAATGGATTCCATAATTGCTTTTTGCTACAGACATCAGCCAATATTCACTCTTTCACCTTGACATAAATCTTGCCCTACTCTGTCCCAATATGTGCCTTTAACAACCTTGGACTACATAAGTGAGCTCCACTTTATACTACAAACTTATTTTTTGTATTTAATCATGTAATAACGACTAATAAATTAATTGTATTATAAAGTCCTTTCACTTATGTTCCTTTATTTGACCCTTACAACGATCTATCCTCTTGTGGGGGAGAAAACTGAAATTCTGAGAGGTCATTGGCTGGTTCAGGGCCTCTCAGTAGGTGGATGAACTAAGACTTAAACTTGGGTCTACAGACACTAAAGTCTGTAATTATTTCCTTCCTTGAAAAGCACTGAAAGAATTTACTTTTCAGAAGACTCCCATAGTGCATCTGTTTATCCTCTGTATAAATCTGGATGTTTCCCTAATATGAGGTGTGAGCCACCTGATTTCTTTGAAAGAACACCCATTTCAAGACTTTCTCATAAGAAAATAGACAGTGAAGGAGTCATCTCTGCAGTGCTCCAGGTGAGTGGGAGATTGGCAGTCACTAAGATTTCCAATCTCACCCAAGTGGCTTGCCATGGGTACCAGAGTTACTCACATTCCTGAGAATGGCTTGGGGATGTTACCAGCAGAGCCACCTGGAGTGGTGGGAGGGGATGCCACCAGGGAAGGGAGCAGCTCCCTGAACAAGAGGTGCTGTGGGGAAGAGCTCCAGTGCTCATCCAGGCAGGTGCAGAGGATTCTGGAAGTAATAGAGGGGCCAGAGTGAAAGCAGGCCCTTTGCAGGCCCATTCTGTGTAATCCTCCCTGTGCTGCTGTGAGATGACTTTTCCCCTCCTTCATTTCAAATGTGGAAAGGGGGCTTGGAGATATTGAATTGTCAAAGGTTAGAGCAATAAATGGCGGTTGGGATTCGAGCCCAGGTCTCTCTGACTCCAAATCTGTTGTTTTTAATCACTGTGTTATATTGATTATAGAGCTAGGCGGGATAATGAATCACATTGCATACCTTCAGACCCATATGTATAATATTTCTTCAAGACTTATTTAGTGGAAGATTAAGGCTGGAAGGGGGAAATGTTGCTGGGGGAGGGAGGGTAACAGCCGGTATGGGTACTTCACTCAGCAAAGTCCTTTGGTCGATACCTCCTCTTTCCTTGTAAGGCAGACTGGGCAGCTCTGTGCTCCCTTGAGCTGAGTGTTGGGAAGTATTTTCTTCCCCACCCTGAGCAGCCCACTGGGGTATCCCTGACAAGTACAAGCAGTTTGCATCCTGAGATGTGGCTTCATAAACAATGATGCCAGGGAGGGTGTAGTGTTGAAGCCTGGCTCTGCGGGCACTGCCTCTGTTTCCCATGTGGCCAGGTCACACACCACATCAGTGGCCATCCTGGAGAAGTCTCACCTTCTGTCTCCTGGCTTCGTTCAGTATGGCCTGCTTCCGCGCTCTGTCTGGTGTGGGCATACTGGGGGAAATTCTGGGCCCCCTGGCAAAATGGCTCTACCCTGCACGTCCTCCACCTGGCCACGCAGCTCCTGTTCTGCCGCAGGGGTTCAGGCACCCTCCTCTCTGCCGGGAGAATAGGACGGGAGGGGAGCTGGTGATTGTTACCTGCTTGGGTGGCTTCCTCTCAGACTGTATCTCCTGCCTCCCCTCAGAATGCCAACAGACCCAGGAAATCAGTACATCCTGCCTCTACCCACCTTACTCTGAAGGAAGCTTGGGTTAAAGGAAGGCCATCTTCAGGGAAACCTGCCCCAAGATTTGCACATCATGATAAATATATAAACGACAGTCTATTCTCTCCATTTTATTTACTGTCTGTAATTGTTGATACATTTCACTGAGGCTGAAGTCCGTGGCATTTTGGTTGACTATGTATCAAATTGAATATTTTTTAAGACCATAATTTTATACAGTAATTCAGACACATTTCCATTAAAAAGTTAGTAGCCTATCAAGAATTCAGTCCACAGTGTGGCAAATCTGTACTGTGCCCAAGCCTATTTCAACACTTAGGAGAAGATAAGCTGAAAGGTTGTGCACAAATAAGTATGCAAAGTGGGAATATGGAGACACGAGCTAAGATGACCAGAGGTGACTGGCATCGAGGGAAGACCTGTGAAAAACCTGCATCGGTAGCCATGTGCTCATCACAATCCTGCAAATCATTAGAAGAAAAGAAAGGCAAAAGATGAATGTTCAGGCCCCTGGGCTAGGACATCAGCCAGCTGAGGTGCACAGGAGTCTGTCCTAATCTGTGCGAAGTCTGGTACTGATGAGATTAAAT